GACTTGAATTCTAACAGAAAATTAAATTTGTTAAGCCTGAAATCTAAAGAAATAACTTTCGTAAAATCTGGGCTTTTAAATAGGAACGAATATTTAATATTCAAAGCTCTACTAACTCATTTATGAGTCGATTTTTTATGATCGATTTTTGTTTACGAAATATTAATTCTTAGCAAGACTTTATTTAACATAATTGAGTTGAAATAATTTTTGCAAATTTTCCGCCACAGCTTTCCCGCTGGCAACATATATTTTATATAAGAGTTGGAACTCCTGTAAAGATCCATTGTCCTGGAGATTTAATAAAATCGCACATTGCCAACAACTGTAACCTCTCCATCCCAGCCAGAACTTTGTCTACGATTAATAAGAGCCACACAGGTTGGACAGAAGCAAATAAGAATAAAAAACTCTTATGTGACTGAGTGTTGAATTGTATTCGCATTTGGTCTTCCATGACTGGAGTTGATCCAGTGGACCATCCACCATTCAATTCCCGCACTCGTTTGAAATTTATTGTTGCAGATGCCCCAACGGGGAGGTTCTGGCTCCCATGTGTGGCGCATATGTTTCGCCTTTTTTGCATGCAATATTCTATTGAAATATTTGCAAATTACTGGAGGATTTCACCATCGTCCTGACAACGACGTTGATCCCAGTGCCCAGACAATGGACAATTTGCGGCACAGAATCAGGTATTTAAAATGTGCACTCCATGTGGCACTAGTTAGGCAGATTTAAGCATATATGTACATATAGCATGGTTGGACCATGCCTGCAAGGCAGGCAGCAGGAGGAGCTGTCCATGGCCATAATTTATTACAAGGAACAAAGTTATTTTAGGCGTTGCACACGCTCATGTCCGTCCATAAAGAGCACTGGGTGAAAAATGTTTTCAGATCAATAACAAAATTAGACTTGAATTTGAAATTATAAAAAACGAAGATATAGTGATAGTGATAATCTGCTTACAGACATTGGCTTTATATTTTTACTTTCTGTTTTTTTAAATCTGAGTAGAGGTTAAGTAATGCTTAGACTTTTCCCTACAATATTGGTTCTGTTCCAATTTTCTATACATTTCCCATTAACTTTTTCTCTCAGTGCACTTGCCAAGCACATATCCTTTGTTCTGCTAGCCTAGCCGGACCATTCATTAAATAAAATAAAGTTAGCTTGTAGTAATTGTCAACGACAGTTTGATGTTTTTGTGAAATATTACAAGTAAATTGTTTTGCCGGCAGCTCCTTCGACCCATGCAGATTTCCAAGTACGATATCGCAAGAGAATAAGAAAATATATTCAGGACGGCTCCTTTATTGACAGTGTTGCAATTTGCTAAATTCGATTACATCATGCATATGAAAATGCCTGCCATCCGGCGATGATGATGTATGACCTAACCATTTTTGGCCATGATTAATGATTCGCTCTGTGATTGTTACCAAAGAAAACGGAATAACGATAGGTAGGGTAATGGGGTGGAGTCCTCAATTAAGTATGCGGCAAGGTCAAAAACCAAAGCAAACTCAATTAATATAAGCGGCGGGTCAACAATCAACAAGACCGCGACATCCACTTCCATTTTCCAGGCGACGCATTTCAATGACCATAAAACGCAGCTTTAAAGCCGGCTTACGTCCTTGGCCATCCGTTGTTTTTGCACGGATGTAAAGGAAAATCGGGCGTGGCTATGGGCGTAGGTTGCTGAGGTCGCCATTTCACTAATTAAGTAAATATTTACCAAACGCGCTCTCTCCGCGGGCTCCTCAGTTCGTTTCTAGTGGCAAGTTATCTGGAATTTTGCACGCCCCGAAATGCTTGGAGACAACAAAAACCCATAGTCGCCTATCGCCTATCCCATGGCTACCACAATAATAGACCCTAAGAATAATTCCTTGTCAACACACTCATAAATAATGGACTGAGTTGAGCTGGACCGCCCTCCATCCAGTTTTTCCACCTGCTTTCCACCATCAGCAGGGCCATCATCATCATCAGCATTGTCAGATTCAAGTGGCCAGGTACAGACAAAGGCAAAGTATTTATCATAAGCAGGGAGAAAATTGCCAAATTCTGGATGAAGAACTTCTAAATACCGTTGGTTTTAGTAATTTCTAATAATTTATAAACTTGCAGATAAACGCCAGAAAAGTATAAAAAATCTCTGAAGTTCTTCAAATCAAAAAAAGTTATAAAAAGTAATACGTAATATATTTTAGCCAATTACTTATTATATTTCATATAATCGAACTAAATCTGTTAAATAATATGAATTATGAAATAAAATCTACCTATTAGTCCATATATTTCCCTGTTCTTTGCCACAAAACTACTAAAATTCGAGGGTATCTGAAATTTTTAGAACTTTTTTATAGACGACAAATTTATCAGTGCCACAAAATGAGTTCCACTGACGAAGTTTCCGCCGCCCCTCAGCTCTTACCTGGCGACGATTTGTCATCTTTTAAATACAACAACAGTGCAGAGTGAAGTGAATGGCTTCAGAGAGCAGGACGAAGGACAAAGGACATGGCAATAATGCGTCGCAGCATAAATTTTATTTATTTTATAAGCGCATAAAGCTCTGGCCATGGTAGAGGAAAAGAGGTGGCCTTTTGGCCACTAGAAGAAAATATTCAAAAATTTAGAGTAAAAGAAAATTTTAACTTTTTAGGGAAGTTTTCAGATTCTATAACAAGTTAATTTCAAGATAATTAAATATGCTAAAAAACGTATTAATATTATTGTATAGTTTTCAATTTTGAAGTTGTCAAATGAATTTTGGCAATTGTTTCTTTGGCTCAAGTGTAAAGTCACACTTTTAGCTCACAGTGCAGATCCAGCACCTGCAGAGGCGACAAGTAGTCCCTCCTTCTTCATTTTCCGCCCGATGGCTGGCAACTTTGTTTGTCTAATACCTGAGATGCTTGGCCAACACTTTGTTGCCGTGACGCGGTATTCAAAATAGGTTTTTAGTAGACTGTCCGGGAGGAACGAAAGAAACGCCAGTAGCACGGCCACGCCCACGGTTATGAATGGGCAGTACATCCACGCGAACAGCCACGCCTCCCTCAGGGAAAATGGTGTGTGTGTGTGTGTGACTGTGCGTGATATGAGCAGCATCCTAGGATCTCCGCATCGCAGCCACTTCATGTCAGGCTTTGAGCGTAATTTTTCTTGGGTAAAATAACTTGAGCAGCATCACTAAACGAGCTTTTTACGCTGCCCTTGTTATAAAAAAAAAAAAACGAAATAGGGGCGGAGAGGAGATGAGGTGCTGGGGGGAGTGTCGCTGATGTCGTGGCAACGACGCGCTTGTAAAAGTTGAAAGATTTGCATAAGTAATTTGACAAAATGTAGTTGACAGTAAAAAGCAGCCAGCCATGCACACATGCAAGCAGAATGCCACTGATAAAATGATATGGCCAAGAAGTGAGGGCAGGGTAAGAAAAACGAGGGAACAGGGCCAGCTGATGACAGCCGGCGGTTGGCCAACAGGGAGGTGCAAATCTCACCCACATGATGGGGCAATCTTTCTTACTTATAAACCCACACGAAGAAGGCGGCCGCATTAGAGCGGCAACCGTTTCATTACCCCAAATGAGAAATGTGACGAGAGCACTGACAATGGAGATAATAACAAGTGCGAAAATATTTTTTCAAATTTAATAAGAGTGCTTTGGAAAGATATTAAAGAGAGAGTTGGACTACTAAATCTGATATTTAGGATCTACTCCTCTCTTACTTACTCTTTTGCTTAGCAACTAAAGCTTACTTTGCCTTTATAACTTATTGGAAATCGTAAGGAAAGCTTTTTTGTTCCTCAAATTGTTCTTATAAATATAAAGAATCCAACTCTTTTAATTCTCAATAAAATGTTTACATTTTCCACTTCATTTTCCAATCATTCGGTTTCTTATTAACTACTTTAAATTTAACTACACTGCTGCCATAAATATGGGTAATCATATAAACTTAACAACCGTAACATTGTCAACAATCAAAATGACACAAGTAATGTAGGTTTAGTGAACAAGGACCGAAGGCTTGACAGGATATATCCGATGGATTTAATACTTTTTTTTTGAACTACAATTAAAGTCAAGTATTGTAAATGTTTGGCTTTCAGCTTTTCCTATTATTCTCAGCAATATTTCTTATTTTTTTCAGTAGTGTCTTATTAAAATGAACTTATTCCTTCAGCAGAGTATCCAATAAATGAAGAGTACAGCTCATAAAGCTGACATCAATTTGCAATAACGGAAGCATGATATGCGAGCATAAATTTTATGCACTGCGACACCACAAAAAGCGGTAATGATAATGCCGTGTCGCGTCATAAAAATGTGCCACTCTTACACCCCCTTTCAAAAACAAAAATAAAAAATAAAAGGTGAGCACCCCAATAACAAACGGAAAAGGGGATCTGAAAAAATGTACCTAAACAAATTGCGACAAGCCACAAAAGCTCGCGTTAAAATGTATCTATGCATCCGTTGGCGATTGGCAGCAAAACTAACTGTGTTGCCAAGCTTTCTTTATAGTACACTGGGAATAAAACTATAGTCTTGGCTTAGGTAATGGGAGTTGAGTTAATATGCCTTTAAAATATTTAGCATAAACTGAGACAGTTGACGATAATGTAAGTCAACTTCTGACACCTAAGTTTACTTCTAAAAGAAAAGTAAACCCTAAAAATTACAAACTCAATCTAAAAGATATTTTGATTAGCTTTTCTGTTGAAATAAAACAATGCCCTTTTATCATATTTATCTTAGCAAATAAGTAAAAATGAAATAAATTGATAAAATATCAAAATAAAAAGATAAGATAAATAAATATCTAGGTTTTTTTCTGTGCTTTTTTGTTAGTTGGGTAAGGACGCCGCTTATGGCAATGGGAGGTAAGTGTGGGTGTGGGCTCGGAAACTATCCACAGCTGCAATGGGTGAGTGGTTGCCCCGGTGGTGGTGGCTTTTCCTCATTCGTTGCCAACGCTCCGCACACGCGACACGTGCGTGGTAAACTCCGTATTCCTGGGACATTGTGCATTGTGAAAAGTTGAAACTGTTGAAACTGGAATAAAATAATAATAGACACTGAGTGTCAGCAGCTGCCGGGAAAGGTAAAAAGTGTGGCAAAGAAATAATCGACATGTCTGTTAATTATGGTGAAAGTTTTCCCATACACATGTCGCTCCTTTTGCCGAGCTGGCACTTCTTTTCCCTTTATATATCTCAATATATATATTTTTTGTTATTTTTTTTTTGTGGAACGACAGCTGGCGTTGTCAGTGGCCGATACTTTGCTTGTTAGCGAAACAAGCGACATGTCATCAGATCTCTATATATATTTCGTATATATCCGCAACAGTTTCAGAATCTGGTGCTGCGTGTCATAAAGAGACACGCACAAATCATTCTTAAACTCAGCCAGGTTCCGTGTCCTTCTGCTGGCTTTTAACGTTGTCCTTGCTGCCTTTTGCTTAACTCGCAATTTATGGTTAATCGATGTTGTCTTTGAACGTGACCTATTTGCTTTATTTGCTATAGGTCTTCAGTCGCTGTGTCCTGCGTTGTCTACGGTATCCCGTGCATCCCGTGCCCTGTACCCTGTACCCTGTATCCAGTATCCAGTGTGTGTCGCCATTATCCATGTCGCACTCAGAGTCCTGCTGACGTGTTAAATCGTCTTTTTGTTTACCCTTACCCTCAATAAAGCCATCATTTATTTTTCATGTTCTATCGCAGTTCGTTAGCATCTCTTCCTTTCGGCTTTCTATGTGTGTTTTTTTTTCTTCTCTTCTCCTCGTTAGCTGGAATTTCACTTTTTGCATACGTGGCGTATACGCTATATTATATTGGTTGGGCGGAGAGTGGCTGGGCGAAATCGATACTACGGACGACCTTGACTTCCGGCAAGGATGCTGCAGTTTGCCATTCAAGGTGCATTTGTTGCCCGGCAACATTTGTTGCCAAGATCCAAGAAGCCCCCTTTTAAGAAAGCTTCACAGTTTTACAGTCGTTAAAAAACGAACTTTATAAGTCCATTTGGGAAAGCATTTTCAGCTGGTTACCTTTTGATATTAAATATAGTTTTGGATTTAAGTTATCTGAGATTATTTCCTTTGTATTTATTTTTGGACTACTACTAAAATAGGCATCGATTTTCAGATGAAGACCGATTTTTCCAATATTCCCATTTTATTAATTGCCTCATTTAGCTATAACGAAATTTGTTTATTTTTCCAAACAATAATTTTCCCCTCATATATATCCCGTATTTGTATACCAACTTTTTCCCAGTGCCCCATGACCGAATGGCGTGTGGCATCTAAGGACACTAAAGTGCCACCTGGGGCACCTAATTAGAGCACCGTTCATTACTCACGCCGCATTAGTCGTGACTGTCTAACTGGCTATCTAACGGGGTCATCAGGAATGGGACTCCCATGGCGGATGTATAATTATACTATATAAATATACAAAAAAAAAAAAACAGAGTTGAAATAAAAGCTTTGTGAGGTTGTTTATTCAGGCTGACATGACCGTATTCAAATCACATCAATCGATGTAATTTCAACGACCTCGACAGCCTTTCTCCCAGTCAAGGCTTCAATGTTTTTCCCTGAAACTCTGTATTTTCGTTGCCTTCTGAATCAATGTTATTGATTTGAAAGACAAATATTTGTCTCTTCAGGGTTTGTTTACTTCATTACTGGCAATGACTACATGAACCAATAAATCAAAGGAAATGAGGAAAGAACTACTGCAGGTCAAGGATGTTTATAAATCGAAGAACAAATTTTATAAAAATTCTTTCTAATTAGTTATTTTAAATCAACAAAAACTCGGATATATATAGAATTATATTAAATAGAATGTTTGGCTAAATTAACAACTTAAATTTTTGGGTATTTACAAACAAGCAACGGTGTGTGCATCGTTCATATACGAGTATGTTGATGATAAAACTATTATTATTGCCAATTGATGCGTGAAATATTGAGGTGAGTGCACACACTTACCCTCGCCGGCCAAATTGAGTGCTAATCAAACTAGTTGGACCTCGAGTCGGCACGGTTCATTGAGCCAAGTGCCACCTGGTCAGAGTTTACCCCACTGCTCAGCTAATCTATTCAAACGTATGTGGGCTCAAAGGTGGGCAAATGTAGGCGTGCTTAACGACACGGCAAGAAATAAGTTTTTATATGGTTTTGAAACATTTTAGAAACTAGAACTATGCCTATAAATATTTTCTTACAATATTTTCTTTCATAAGATATCAAATCAATTCTCTTCAGTTTTATAATTTTTCTACTCTTTTGCAATACATTTTTTTATATTTCTTAAACATTTTTCTACCAAACAAAATCTTTCAGTGTAAGTATATTTCCATTGCCTAGCCGTATTCAAAACTTAAATTTACTCAAAATGGTTATTTTATCGTCTTGAAGCTCTTCAACTTTTAATTTAACTAGTTTTTGTTTGACTTGGATTTACAATTAAAATTGGGAATTGCCGGCAAGCCTTTCAATGCGTTGAAGCGTGAATTGAATGCGCCATAAGTGTGTCAGTCCCAAGACAAGTCATATTTGGCCACATTCATTTAAAATGTAAATCAACTCGGCAAATTACAAAGCGGGGTGTTGGTTTCTTTGAGACTTTCTTTGTATAGCACCACCTTCTGGTGTAATTAGGCGCCTTTGAGCTAAAGTAAATCAATTCCTGGTGTAATAGCCCACGGCTATGGCTGTCGCAGCCTGGCAACCTCGCAAAGTCTATCGAATGAATTTTCCCGGACAGAAAAGTATTTTGCCAAGCTGACAATTATTGTAGCAGCATAAACTCAAAAATGAAATATCAAACAAATTCTTATTAATCGCCCGAGGCCAATTGACAGCTTAAAAGCGAGCTTAGGCGCACAACAAAGGGAACGGAAATGTTAATTAAATCCACACGAAACCAAATGAGGGAATGATAAGCATCATTCTTAATAATTATAGCAAATCTCAGCAATATTTAAACTTTTAATGGTGCTTAATACTAAATATGTCTGTACTTATTTCCCTTAGATGCCACGCGAGGACGACTACAACAAGGAGGCCGCCCTGAAGAATCTGGCCAAACGCGAGTTGGCCAACGGATTGGACAAGGATCCAATTTACAAATTGCGCCTGCAGTGCTTCAGTCGCGGTGCCACCGGCATCTTGGGCCTGTCCAGGTGAGAACCCTTCACCCTTTATCCTCAATACCCCTCAATACCCACGATCCAATAGGCAAAGAATCAGGGGCTTAGGCTTAGGTGAGGCTGCCTGTTTGCATAATGGTGCTCCAGTTTGTGTGTGGTCCAGAGAGGCCCTATGCGGTGGATTGTTTGCTATTTGTTTCTTATCTACATATTTTTTGGTGGGCTTTTTGATTGAAACGAAGTAGTAATTCCCTTTAAATACATAAACTTCCTTGGAAATGTATTTTAGCTTTGCAAATATTTAGTCAGTGTTGGTTTCGTAACTCGTCTGTAGTCTGTATTTATGTATTCTAAACTGAATCTTAATTAAAGGTATACAAACAAAATTATCAAATTTCTGATTAGTAATTACTTAAAGTAACATTCATGACTATTGGTTTTTAGTTACAAAATATCGAAACAAATCCAATTACTCTTATAAATGAGTTAAAATAAACTAAGAATCAGTTTAATTTACCTACAATCGTTTATTATTGGAATTCAGTTTCACAAACTATTAATTAATAGCTCTTTGCCTTTCTACGGATAAATCAAGACTAACAATCTCGGATCTAAGTCCATCAACGACTAGAGTATGGGAGACTTGGTCAAGTTATTTGGTAAACCCAAAATGTGAGATATGGCCAAGGTATGTGAGCAGGAATTCCCCCTTATTCACCTGAGATGCAGATGAGCCTCTTCTGAAGCGGAACAGCCCCTCTAAGGGGGTGCGGTATTAAAATGATGAAATCGTTGAGGGTCCGACAAGTGACGAGACCGGGAGCATATGGCCAAAAGTAGGGTAGGTGAAGATGGCCGAGGCTCGGCAGGGAAAATATGGCAAATGAAACTGAAACTTTGCTGGCTTTTTCTGCTGCCGCTACTGCAGATGCAGATGCAACTGCTACTGCTGCTGCTGCTGCTGCTGCTCCTGATGATGATGTTAAGTTCGGGCCCAGCTAGGCGCATGTAAATACGAGTTCGAGTGCATGTTGAACTAACATTCTCGAAAGCGCTTTCAAGTGTGTGTGCAAGTGCAGGCCGGGCAGGAAAAAAAAAGGGAAATAGAAAAAACTATAACTATGACGCTCGCTGGAAGAATGGGCAGGAGGAAGCTGAAGGGGGAGTGGCAAAAATCGCTGACTGAATGCAAACAAACATAATTGGATTTCTGTAGTTGCTGTCGAGTAAAGCTACAGTCTGAAAAATCAGGGAAAACTATAGCATCTTAATTATTTGAGATATAATATTTGATAATAATATGACTTAAGTAAATATGCCAAAGAAACTTAAATTTTAAATGATTATTTTTAACTTTTTTAGTTACCTAAACTTTATTTGTTGTGAATTTAGTATTTTAAGAAATGTTTTTAGCGCCAGTTTCAAGGCCTTCAAAATACTCCTTTGCTCCCAGTGCAGCGACCTGCCACGGCCCCTTTCCACAATCCCCACAGTGTTCACCTCAGCCCACTGTTAGTTTTTATTTCAATTTGAGCTGGGAGCACAGAAGCAAAACTGCTCTTCCACCTGTACCGCCCAACGCCCACCTATCATACAACCACCCATCGCCTCCACCTGTTTTTGCCCGCCCGGCTGTCTGCTAACAATTTTGCCGCTTTGAATATATAGACATTTTGTACAAAATCCTCGCATCTGCAACATATGTACGGTGTGTGCATTTGTTTGTTTGTTTGATTGTTGGCTTGTCGGTCGGATGGTGGCTGCGCCTATTGGCCTCGTCCTCGTGAGCGCGCATTTTCATTTGTATTTATGCAATTTGTTTGTTTGCCAGCCGGAAAATTCAATGCATCGAATGCATAGCTGAATGAGCCCCTCTTCCTCGCCTCGCCCCACTTTTCCGAGTATCTATCAATGGCATATTCTTATCCAGCCCGCTTTGTCCCGTGGCAATAATAGGAATATATTTTCATTTTGCCATTCATATTGAGAATTATTTTTGCGGTTCTCGTTTCGATTTTCTTTTTATAATCTGGATTTTTTGTTCATCTTGCAGAGCATTTCGGGTGATGGACGACGATGGCAGCAAAACACTCAGCGCCGAGGAGTTCAAAAAAGGAGTCACGGATATTGGTCTGGAGCTGAGTGATTCAGAAATCGAGGAAATGTTCTCCAGGTTGGTTGTTTTTTTTGAAAGAATTTGAAAGCAATTAGAGATTGAGATTATATTATATACAACTGGTTTAAGTACTTAAGAAATATTTTACAATATTTTGTTATTATCTGACATGTTACTCTAACCCACAGCTTCGACACAGACGGCAGTGGCAACATAAATATGACTGAATTTTTGGTCAAGTTGCGGGTAACTAAAATGGAAATTTAGATCTAGAAATATCATTACAAATCACTCATGTCTTTCAGCCCCCTATGAATAACTCACGTATCAGCATCATCGAAAAAGCCTTCGACAAGATGGATGTCAATGGCGATGGTCAAATTACTGTTGCCGATTTGAAGAATGTTTATTCTGTCCGAGATCATCCAAAGTACTTGAGTGGTGAGATGACAGAGGCTCAGATATTCACGGGATTCCTTAAGAACTTCGAAGTGGGTGCTCCGAATCCAGATGGAATCGTGACCAAGGAGGAATTTATTAACTACTATGCCACGATCAGCGCCTCGATCGATAATGATGCCTATTTTGATCTTGTGATGCGTCGCGCCTACAAACTATAGATATGTTCCTCTGAGAATTTTCAATTTTAACGTCCATTCGCCGTCTTTGAAGCTTGATCAGTTAATTGAATCGCACACTTGTATTAATAACTAAAACGCCAAGCCAATGTTTTAATTAAATTTACTAGTAATGTTGAAACTTAAATAAGCATTTTATATTTGATAATGAGAACCAAAGAATAAGAAACTCTGGGAGCATAAATGGCAATCAAACCTATTTTAGCTGACTTATATATCCCAAATATGTTTCTTAATCATCAAACTATAAAAAATCATTGCAATTTCAAATTAAAGAAATCCAAAATCAGCAACTTTAGTTAAAAATTTTCAACAAAGCAGTTGATTTGAACCTTAAACCGCTTTAACTAACCTAATCCTTGGCTTTACCCAGCGATTTGCGAAATGACAACGCAAATCAGTCGAGCCGTAAACATTCCAACAGCCCCTTGCCCCCCGCCCCCGCATTACCATTCCAGTTGCGTGTAGTTTGGCCAAATAATGCGCTATAATAATTTATTAAATTAAAGCCGCGTGCTAATTAGCATAAAACTAATTAGATTACTTGTACATGCGAAGCCGCAAAGCACGGCGTAACACTCGCTGAACGGGCGACAAAGTTTGGTTTGAATTTGGTTTTTCGGTGAAATCGTGGGCCCACGCGGCGTATGCGCAATCGTTAGCTGTGTTTTTGTCGCTTTTAATAAAAGTCAGTTTGGCAAAAAGTCAGGCCAGCTAACACAGACAGAACAAATAAGCCTGATTAGCCTATGTTTGTATATGTGTGTGTGTGTGTGTGTGTGTGGGGTGTGGGTGTCTCTTACTACGTTCATACCATTCTCATTTTCAAAAGAGCTTTTCAAAGAGCTGTCAGAAATGCTTCATTCGATTTTCACTCGAATTCCAATGATGATGCTGATGTGTGTTCAATGAAAAGAAAATCTATGACTCTTTTGAAGCCTAACTAATCATGTTTCAAATTACTCACTGTTAATTAGGAGGAATAAGGAAATTTAAAGAAAAAAGATCGAAGAGTGAAACTTATTCCTGAAAAATCAGTCAATTTCTTGATATACTTATTCGGAATTTTCCTTCCTCAAAATGAACTCATACCACCCTCTAATAATAACTTTTACGACTCAGCCCAACCAAGTGCTTAATTAGAGGCTTATTAGAGCGCTGACGATGGCAATTGGCAAACTCTAATTACATTCATTTCGCATCGATGATAAGAATACCACATCTAATTATAAGCCGGGTAAACAGGACTTAATATCCAGTGATATCGATAACAGCTTGGCAAACGTCTCGGCCTGATTATGCGGCCAAGTTTTTGTATGCCATGTAGACAATGTTAAAAGTTTGCCCAAGTAATTAAATCACTTCGATCTTTGCTAATTACAAGCCAAGAACATACATTTAGCTGTTCGCCAAGCGTGTGCGCGTGCTTCCTTGAATGCCTATGTGTTTGTGGGTGTTCTGGTATCTGTGTGCCTGTCTATCCTGGCCTTGAATGTATTAGTGAGAATATCTGTCAGTGTGTGTGTGTACACCTTGTTAGACAAAGCCCAGCATCACCGACATCCTCATCAGGCCAAAAGGGCCAACAGCGGCAGCAACAACAATGTTGACAAGTTACCTGCCAAATTAATGCAAACATGAAACGTGCGGCAACGGGAATATTAATTAACTAACTACCTGGGACACTCACACTAATGCCCACAGATACACACGTAACACTGTGAGGTGCACTGGGAGAAAAACATGAGAGAAGAAAGGGACTTATTGAAAAATGAAAAATGCTAAGCACAAAACTTTTAAATACTTTCCCTCAGAAGCTCTGTAGTTTATAATCTTCATTTACTAAGATTTCTTTGATTTAATAAGAATTTTGTATAATTTTTTTTAAAAAGACAAATTAACTCTCAGTGCAGCTACGAACTTTCAGATCTGTCGGCCTTTGGCCTCCGTGTGTGGCTCGTGTTGGCAGTTGGCACTTGGCATTGTCAGATTTGAAGGCGCATTCCCGGTTACATAGCCGGTTTTGCTAACTAACCTGATCCCTGGCCCCAGATCCAAAATAATTCCAACCGCTGCCAAGTGGCGTATGATTAATGAACGTTTCATTAGCGCGACTCGCATTACGTACACGGTTCGACTGCCAAGGGAGCAAAAGGAGGTATTTGCATTTCACCAGGTTGCCGAACGTGATCACAATATTATCTCTTCATCAGCAGCCTGTCCGGTGCCCCAGAAAAATGTGGAAAAATGCACAAGAGCTATTCTATTACCTTTTTTTCCCCCTGAAAGGAGTTGGCAGTGATGGGAAGCTTGGGTAGCTAATTTGCCAGTATTTTCTTTAAATAAATACAATTAAATCAAAATTCCCAATACTTAAATTCTTAAGATGATTGATGTACAATCTTGTATTTCATTCTATTATACCAAATCCAATAGATTGTATCTTTCCCATCTCTAAATGCCAAGGGGCTTGAACATTCGTTTTAGCCTCATTTCGAGGCATCGCTACTTACCACTGGTTGGCCATGTTCTACTCCTTTTTGCGGGGTGCTCATGTACTTGTTTTTCTTCGGCTACATGTCGATGGGTTGGTGGGTGGCTTGTGGAGTGGTAACTGAGACTGGCTTTTCTTCCCCAATTTGAACTACCATGGCAGCCGCTAGCGTTAACGAGTTACAATGATTTTCGTGCTAATTAAAATGGTTTTTGCATTCAGTTTACCGCATTAGCATTTCGTTTAGCAGTTGAGCAAACACCTGCAACATAAATTACGCATACGCAGCGCTGCCGACACTGCCAGTGAAACGAAAACATTGGCCAAAAAGTATGTTTACGTCGTCTAATGAACTCCCATATTTGCCAGCATAGTTTTGGTCTCCTTTGTCACCTGTCTTTTCACCCAACTCACTATTTTCTCACTTACCAACCTGTCTGCATTTTACGGCTTAGCCTAATTAGATGTTTCAAATGGTTTGACAGCTACGGCTGACTGGGATTAGGCTCATTAGTGGTTTGCGATCTCGATATCTTTTCACTGATGAATTCGGTTTTTTCGTATTTAAAACAAGTGCGAAGTTTTATTATATTACTTACTTTAAAAATAAAGAAAGATTACCCTACCCTATCTAATGTTTAAAAGTATCTTCATACTAATTTCCTAAACTTTTAACATTTTTAAAATCTTTCTAAAGTTAAGTGAGTTTGTGTAATGAAGTATCCTAAGAAATTCGTAGAAAGTCAAAAATTATTTATAATAATTATAACTTAATCGACTTTCGTTTCTTATTTTTCTCAGTGCCTCTCCACAGATATGCACTCGTTTAATATCAAAATCCAACTTGACTAAACTGCTGCCACTTATGGCCCAATCTAAGAGAAGTTATACTCTCGAAAAATGGCTTACTCGATGCTTGGGGCACATGCGGTAACACGTGTTGCAAAGTTTTTAGCCAATTCGGATAAAGTTATATTTGGCCAACAATAAGCAAATGCGAGAAATGCTCTCAAGTATTTGCCAGAGAGCTCCTAATGCAAGGCATTTTATTGTTGGCTCACACACCTCCATACACACGCTCACGATATTTGGCAGCTCGCATGCTGGACACGTGTAAAAGTTCGGTTTTAAACACTTGCAAACAAAATGTTTTCGATTTTTGAAGCGTTTCTCGCTTTTGTTTTATGAATCTCAGCATCTTGGGCATATGTGTGTGTGTGTGGCCAACACAACGCAGAGCACCAGAAATCCCCAGAGCTGGAAGGGGGAAACTTTTAGTTTCGTATCGCCCACGTTTACTGTCAATAAAACTTTGCTTGAGCCGGCAAAAATGAAAACAGAGCAAAAATCCCTTTTTAAAGAAATATAACATTCAGTGAGTGTGGGCGAAACAAACATGAAAACAGGATAGATTATGTTAGAGAGAAAAAGGGATGTAGCGTTGTGTCTTATAAAACATGCAAATGCAATGAAATTACACGTTACGTATACGCCCCCGAATGCAGACGGAAAATCGAGGTGAAGGGAAAACAGCAACAGAAGAAGCAAACTTCATACACCAAAGGATTATGCAAAATTATGCTAAAAAAAAGAAGAAGAAGAGAGATGAAAAGATGGAGCAAGGGGAATACGGGGCAGCAATGGGAAAAGCAAAATCCACGCACATTAAATTAAAGTGCTTTCAATAAAGTCAAATCGTGACTTTGGCGCTAATGACGAGGACAAAGGACGAGCCGGCAAATCTCTCTCTTAGTACTTGACAAATTGACTTGCAAATCTCCTTTTTATTTTATTTCACTTTTTTTATGCTTGCTTTATTATTATTATATCTTTGATTCGGTGCAAGTATTTCATAATTTTCGATGGGCGTAGCCGAAGCGGATGCCGCACTAAAAGCGCACTCAGCTCAAAGACAACCAGCGGAAATAGTTGGAAAAGTGGGCTGGCAGCAGAAGTAATATGCGAGTGCCACACTGACAAACTAAGCTAAAATGCAGGAAATCTAAAATGCATTTCAAAAAATAATTCAAGTATTAGATTCAAAAAAACTAAATCTTAGAAAATAATTATGAAGCTCTATTGAACTTCGAACTTTGGATAATTCGTAAAACTATTTAAATATTAAATTTTATTTAATTATTTTCATTTATTTATTTACTGGAGTATTTCATCTTATCATTGCCATGTCGTAACTACTTTCTTGCCTCTTTGAGAAATATTTTTGTTGACTGCCTAAGGTTTTAAATATTCATAATTTTCTTACTCTTAAACTTCCCCATCTTTTCCAGTGCACGAGTCCTGTGAGTACGTGCCACGAGCCAAACAAAACACGCGACCCAGACGAGTCATAAGCAGCTGAAAGAAGGATTTTGGAGGGGATCAGCAGGGGACTTGAGCCGTTTTGGTGGCCGACAATGACCCGAGACCATAGGATTTTGCAAGGGAAGAAGGGGGACAGGGGCCAAAAATGAAAGCCGCAGCCAGACGACCGCCATTTATAGCGAATGGATTCGGATTTTTCGGATTTGCGCACAAGATAATGTGCAGCACTATCCTTTCTGCCAGTTTGCCCCCTGCATATCCTGGCCCCCTTTTCCATGATCCTTGGTTGCATGTGAGAGGGCTAAGCA